ACCCATTTCAGTGTATGACTGTAATTTTCTTATACTTGAACAGTCTTTTAGTTAAAAAAAAAATTAAAAAGGTAAAAAAAAAATCTTAACGTTCGATTGCATCAATATTATACTTAAAATTAAGTTTAGCTTCGCAATATATCGTAAAACGTTTGCTTTACACAGTTTAAGTGTATAGCTGGTGCGGACGATCGTTAATAATATGTTCTTGACTATAGCCTAAGTACACTTTTTCACTTTTTTTTGGCCAAGATTATTATTACTGTTCATCCTTCTAGATCGGCCGTGGCCATTGCATGCCCGTTTGGTCGCATTAAAAAAAAAATATATATATATAATAACAAATTCGTGAACGGCGACCTACATTTAATGGATATATAATTACTATACCGCCGTGCCCGCTTTATTGTACATAATATAATTATTATATATAATATTATATATATTATACACTTCACTACTATAATAATTGTTGTCGACTGTTGGCGGCCACTACAGCCACCAAGTGAAAGTCGTCTGCTTGTGCGGCCTTCGAGCGGCAGCGGCCGAATTACACGTCAATATCGTGCGAATTCCTTAAGTGTTTTTTTTTTTTTTAGCTTGGGCGCGTTTTCTATGGGAAATAGATTAAATTTTTTACACAACAATAATATTTTTCGTACAATATATTTCGTATATCTTATAAAAATCGTGCCGACCACCTCACCCGTTAAACGACTCCGCGGGTGTAGCTGTATACACACATTATACCGTTTTTTGGAGGTAAGGTGTATAAAAAATACCAGCCATATATTACTGTTATTATTATTATTATTATGATATCACCATGGACGGTGGTATGCATAATATTATAACCCGTGTGTGTGCGCAGCTAAATACAGGTATATAATGTTTTCTAGCGTGAATAACACAACGTATTGTAATAGTATTATAATCGTGAATTATTATTATTATTCAGGCCCGAGACACGGCAGTCGTGTGGACTGATAATGATATTCCGTATGGGCGACCGCAGAGAAACTATACAGGTACAACATTGGTACTACAAGCATCAGCTACACCAACAGCAGCAGTTATTACCTCTAGATTAGAAACCGCCGAAGAGTTGTTGTTATGCCGCCGTGCGAGACCTCTCGCCACGCATTCCTAAACGCGACACGACGGTTTTCACCGCCAAAATGTTTCACTGGAAAGTCAGCCGACTCGAACGAGACAAACATAAAACGTTTAAATAAAAAAATAAAAATTAATAATAATTACCAATGTCGTTCTCGGTGAAAGACAGTCCTGCGAGAAAACGCCGGCAGAAATGTACATGGCTTTTGCACGGTCCGTCTGCTCTAATTAACGTGTTTGTCATTAATAATTGACTTAGTCGGGTCCGAATAAGTAAACTAAAGTAACGTGCAAATTACATTTCCACGAGCAAATTCGCAAAACGCGCGACCTTTTAGTTTGCACTAATCAGTGCGACTCGGATAATAATTAAGTTTTGAGCTTTGACACTGATTAAATATTGTTGTACTTGTCAGCGTTTAGTGACGCCGTTTAACTATCAAGCAAACACTAATAACTACACCAACAAGCTATGATTAATACAATTACATAGAGTTGATTCCAGTTTAATTTTAGCGTGTCAAAATCATTTTAATCGTGTTATTTTCATCGAGTACCAAAAATCGTCGAAGAAACTCGAAAGCCATCGCGAGTAAGCCGGAAAACAATTTTTGCTACATAAAAGTTAAAAATTTTTAAAAGCAAAAACCCCCTCAATACCTATCAATAATTTCTCTGTTATGACTGATTTACTAGAATATATTTTTTCCTACTCTCTGATGCAGCTCCCTAACGGTGCCATTGGTATCGGTATTTAATAATTTACAAAAAAAGCTGTACAACTACTATGACAGTGGACATCTACAGATAGTCATTATATAAACCCATTCCGTCTTCCCGGACCTTTAAAATCATGACTCGAGCCTATTTAGTCAGAAAAAATAGTTATTACAAAGGTGTATAAGTATGATAGTCCTATAATTAGAGATAGTAAATAATTAGGTGTTGTCCGAAAAAAATATAGATAATTTGGTTAAATTTACAACACCTAACCTTATCGTTTATTTTGGCTAATTTAATTTAGAGTTCCGAGTTTTGTCATTAAACTAAAGATATAAAACAGTTTCTGAATAATGTTTCTTGCTAGAGAACTGAGCTCCTCTTTCCCTAACAATGTAAAAACAGCAAAGAAAAAAATTTGTGATTCACCGGTTTTCTATATTTCACAATGCCAGATTCTAGTGGTTTTCTGTAATACAGTTGCAGTCATCAACACTTTATCTTATTCAAACCTACATTAAAAAATCAAACACACTCGGGAGACTCATAACAGTTATTACAATCATAATATAAAATATTAGTTGACTATGGCACAAGGTCTCTAATGGCATCGCATACTGCGTGACTCAACGATAACGATATATTTTCCCATTTAAAACTAATCCGAACGTTAGTAGCGATTTATGATACAAATAATATAATGTAATCATCCTCGACCCGACCGGATTCTTTGTGCCTTATGCATTTATCCAGCCAATGCGGTTTACTTGAAAATTACAAATGCACCTACAGGTATTACATTCTACATAAGCCGCAGTACCTGTTCTAGGATCGTGAAGAGGGATCATGGTGGCGGGGGGTGGGGTTGCTTAGAGTAATTAAATTATCTTAAATATTTAAAAGATTTTAAAAAGTCACTTGGAGCTAAACTGAATTTTTTTCAACCGATTTTTGTTGAAGAGGACTATTTAAGAGAGTAATAACCATCACGAACCTTTCCCTGATTTCCGGCTATGCCAAAAATTACCCAGTTGAGTGCCAGGATACAGGCCTATGTAACGCTTGAATACATTATGGCTTTTTAGATGTTACACGTTTGGGATACACCATACAATTGGTGAGGAATGAGATAACAATGTTATGTCGTTCGGTATTTGTCAACAGCGCCGTTGTTTCGCTCATCAAACCAGGTTTTGAGGATATTATATAATAAAGGAGAGGGTTATAGATGTGATGATTTTATAGGCCTGTGACAAAAAAAAAATGGTTGAAAGTGTATCTACTTACGAACTCTACTTAATCGAAACTGTCTAAATTTCAACTATTGATTGCTATTCATTATTCTTTTAGCGCTCTCGTTTTTCAAACACCTTTGTACTTTAATAAAATTACAATAATATGTGTACATACCGAATTTATCAGAAAGAGGAGATTAGAGAACCTGTTGGCAATTGCGCTCGGAGAGAAAGTGGTAAAATTATGTTGAGAAATTTAAATGTTTTGGATCAATTATGCAAGAGTTAAGAGGATAGAAAAACCGCGAAAAAGATGTAGCGATTAGCATCAAGTACGATAAGCCACCACTGACGTGTTATGTGGAATTTATAATGAATGGCAATTTCTAAAAACCAGTCGATGTGCTTGTTTAACATTTAATAAGAGAGATGGAATGAAAATGGAAGTAGCTGAAATGGAAATGCTGGCATGAATGTTAGGAGTGACAAGGTTAGATAGAGCAAAAATAAACATAAAACAAGTTAACAGAAAAAAAGACAGACTTGATTGGGATAATTTGGTTGAAATACTTAGTCGTAGGGGGAGAGAGTGATAGGTATACCAGGTAAGAGAGATTTATAGAGAAATTTTGATCTACTGTGGAATAACGTACGTACCTCGAATCAAGAGATTTCTTTCTCAAAAATATGGCGTTAAGTCGAAGAAGATGTAAAAGCTGAATGCTCTAATTACAGGTACCGCCGAAGTTACAAAATGTATTAAACCGAAAACTTAAGTGTGGCTGAGATAGAGGCTAAATCGTCGCTTATGCGGGCCGCAACCCCGCGGTGAACCGGCGGTATATTGTACCTATGTGTGTTTGGTAATTTGTTTTTCACGTCAACAACCGACGGGCGGTTAGGGTTATTAAACGGCATTTTGTGAGGTTTTGTTCTACCGAAAACAATAGACGCTACGATGATGCGCGACTTGATAATAGCTGGATTTTAATATCGCCACGTGACACCGGGATACTTATTGAAAATTAGCGAAAACGAGATCACAAATAAAGAAAATAAATAATTGTAATTATCCGGCGACCCATGTCTATACGCCGAGGGGAGCATGCCTCGCGCGTGTGGCCGTCGTAGCCCACACGCGAGCCGCAATAAAGCGTTTGCCCGAAAACGTAACCCGCCCGGGGCAGTGCAATGACATTATTATTATTATTATTATTATGAGATATTGTTACTATTAAGATTATTACATTTTAGTATATAGTATTGCGGACGCAGCGGGAAATCCGCGTAATATCCGTCGCATTTTCCACGGTTACTCGATAGGTAACGTAAGTGCGTTAAATGTATTATTATTATCATTATTATGGAATAGGTACAGGTACACATATTATTCGGCACGTAACAGCCGGTTAATTTTTCCGAGTTAAGCCGTCAACGCAGACATCAAAAAAACGTTATTGCTTATTGTCCGCGTATTAGATTGCATACACGACACGATACGGGCACTCGCAAATATTATATGATTTATTATTTGTTATTGTATTGTACCTATGTGTATTACCAATTCCAGTACGGCTTTTATGAGCGAGCCGACAGAGAGAAAGTGAAATCTGGCGTTTAGAGAAAATATGTTGTTGTTGTTGTTATTGTTGTTATTATAAGTATTAGTATTATGTCGTTTGATGGCAGAACCGGCAACGTTGCCGCTGCCGCAACGGCAGAACGGGTGAATGGTATGTCGCGGCCGCCTCCGCCGTCAAGGACGTCGCGTACACGTTTGACGAGCCGGGTTTGTGCGTGGTAAGGCCGACCTACAGCCGTCGGCTGGGGGTTGTACGGCGATAATAAGACGATATTACCAATAATGCACAATATAATATTATTGCTATTAATAATAATGAGTAATGTAAAAGGCGCGTTGCCGCTTACCTAGGGTGGTCGCCAACAACGAAGATACGGCCAGCAGCACCACCGCTGCCGTTCTCATGGCCGTTGCTGTTGTCCCGATGGTCTTCACCGAGGTGACCCGCGTCACCGTGTCGATGATGTGGCGTCGTCCGGGCCGCGGCGACGGCCGGTCACTGCGGTCATCGTTCGAGAACCTCGATTTTGGACGATGAGTCACCGAGTCGTCGTGATAGTGTGTACTCTGCTCGGCCGTTGACGCTGTAACCGGGGAATACTCTGTGGACTAGACACACTGCGGGTACTTGTGAAGACACCGGTCCGGTTGAAGTCGCGGTGCCTGTGGACGACGAGCTATCAAGCTCAGGTAAAGCGTCTGCGTTGCGGTTGTTCGTGTGGCGGACTGCTAAGCGTTGTTGCGACGGTGAACGGCGTTGTCGGTCGTCGGCGACGTGGTGACCGCTGCATTGCGTAACACCAATCTCCTCCTCCTCCGCACTTTGGCCGTGTCTTTGTTGTCGGCCGTCAACTGGTAGGAGGTTGTGCAACTCCGCGAGTCAGGTGTCGTGGTCTCCGCCGCCGTGGTGGGGGCGAACCGGATCTTTCGGGCACGCCATCGCCAGCCGTTCCTCCGCGACAGAACAAGACTTACCGTAGTACCGTACGGCGTACCGACCACGGCGGGTCGATGGCCGATATGTCGTGCGCGGCTTCTGTCACTTGCGGCACGTATCGTTTCTCGCTGTCACAGTTCCGAGATATCTTTTGCCCTGTACAACAGCTTTTTCCATGGCAAATCGTACCCCATTGGCCTTTCGCATCTCAGATTTTCTGAACATTTTTATTATTATTACAGAAGCTTTCCTTGATTTATTTTTATCTCAACCCGTTTACGAGATATGCATTTTTAAAAAAGTGGGCACTATTTTTTTTTAGTTGCGTACTATTTGCTGCAAAATTATTGAGTAACATTGAAAAACAAAGTGTTCAAACTTCAAAATATGTAATCTCGTTTGAAGTCAAAACAATTGTTTTTAATATTTCACACATTTTTGGATAGGTATTAGATTTACGTGATGCATGTAATATTTGATTAATTTCTTCTCTAAATGTTTGTTAGCATACCGTTTGACCATTTGACATATTTTTACACATTCGGATTAGATTGTATGCTAAACATTTGATCATTTTTATTTCTTTAAAAACGTTGATTTTTCTTAAACAAAATGCAAATTATATGTGTGTTGTAAAATTATATTTTTTTATAGATAATTATAGTTAACAAAATATAAATAAAAAACTATTTAAAATTTTGGATTTTATTGTTATAAAAAAAAAAGCAAGGCACTTTTTGACAAATTAAATTTATAAATACAATAGATAATTTGCCCACGATCAGACGATAGTACGCCTTAAGGTCAATAATAGTATATTAATAAAGGTCTACAATATTCTACGATCATCTACAATAATTTAAAAAAAATGTATTACATACTTAAAAAAACCCCTTAAAATTTTAAAATCGAAAAAACTAAGCGAAATATTTTTCAAACAATATTATTTAACTTCATTTTAAATGATTCCAATGAAAATCATTGGTTTTTTTTAAAGTAATAATAGGTGTACATATTTAATTTTACAATACCTGAAAAAAAATGTTTGCCCATACCCAGGTATAAAATAATTAAGGATAAATAAGAACCGTGAAAGCTCAAAGGACTTAAAACAATTTTAATCCATTGATTTCGTTGTCTTACAAAAATATGCCTTCGATTTGGAACAACATTTTAGACAATTATTCAAATGTACAGAACACACTGAAAATACAATAAAACCGATTTTTTACAACTTCGGAGACGACTAAATAAATAACACTATACGTGCTAGAAAAATGTTTAGTTCCAAATTCAGATTAAGCTGAAAAAACTTTAAAAAACAAATACCAAACGTACCAAAAACTAGTTGGCTAACTTATTAAAAGACAAGAAAGTTCATCAAAAACTACACTTTAAGGCCAAGAAAAAAATTATAAGACCAGCAGTGTATTATTAAAAAAATACCTACATATAGGATACAAATAAGAATTACATATAATAAGCAACAGCATGCCCAAGTGCTGTGTCTAAATTAGTGATGGGAATCCGAAAATCCGGATTTTTACAAAAAAACCGCTATTTAAGTCGCTTAAAAACCGTATAAGTATAAAATATTATTACAATATAAAGCTGTGTATCTAATTTAAATATTTTTTATGGAAATAAAAAAATGAAACACAATACCAACAAAATGAATTGCTTTTTGATTTCGGATTTGTTAAAATCCAAAAAATAGGAATCTGACATACATTTTTAGTCGAAGATAAACTTTTTTTTTTTTTAAATTTTTATCAGAACATTTACTTAGATACACAGCTTTATATTGTAATAATATTTATTATTTATACGATTTTTAAGTGGTTACAAGTGTATTTAAAAAAAAAAAAATCCGTATTTTCGGATTCCCATCACTAGTCTAAATTACTATTTCATGTGGTCATCACTACTAACCACCATTAAGAATCATAATAAAAAATTATGAAAAATATCAAATATAAGTAGTATTCTACACTAACCATCCTCCCTAAAGACCACAATAAAAGTGGTTAATACTAACCTCCACCCCCTAAGAGTGTTTGTCACATAGTTATGTAATTTTTCGTCATTAATTTATCATTTATTTTGCCTTACTAATCAAATACTGTGACTTGGCTGAAAACTGGTATAAATGTTGTGCGTTAGACTTACATATTAAATTTAAATTTTGAAAAACTTAAAGATAAACTGCTGTAATTAAAAATATATTTGTCTTAAAATAGTTTTTACCTTTTAATAAAGTAATATAATATTTAAATTAAAAATAAATTTTTTGTTCGTTAATGGTGATGATAAATCTAAAAAACCCACTGAAAATTTTAAAAGTACCTATTTAGCTATATATTAATGTTTTATTATTTAGCGTCTGTGTAGAAAATCGGTTAAATTTAAATCGTTTTTTCTAGAATTTGAAAATAACAGGTTGAAGTTTTCATTATTAAAACGATATAGGCGAAGGATTTCCGATCGCATAGGTCATAGACATTAATATATCTATAAAGAATACATCCAATGTCCAATGATAAAATACCTATTGTTCAGACAAACACAAAAAAAACCCACCATTGTAAAACCAATACTATTTCAGATATTATGTACCAAGGCTAAATAATATAATTTTAGTTTAACATTAGTCTCAGAAGAATAAAAAAAATCAGTGACTTGAGATATTCATGTTTTTATTTTATTGATTAAAATATATTAAAAAATAATAATAATAATAAACCCTTTCTGTAAACATTTAGTTTTTTTTATTGTTCAAAAAAAAAAAAAAAAATGCAAAGTTATCACGTTTTGTGCTAAACATTTTATTTATGTTCAAGTTTAAACATTATTTATATATTTTTATAACTGAATTGAAAAATAATTGTTTACATTTTTTGGTTTTATTTTGCAATTTCGCTTCTTATAAAAAAAACATATATTTTGTTTCTGCCCAAGTGTACATGGAAAAAAAACTTCCAACATGTTTGATTTTACATAAATGTATCCTTAACTTACCTTGCGCGCACTTAACATTTTAGGACGACGATTCACCTCCACCTTTTACTGGTACAGTAATTAAAAAAAAAAAATGATTCAGTACTATATAGATAAAATTTTCCTATAAAATCACATTTAGATGTAAATTTATATGCACTGCTTAAAAGAAGTTCGACCTAAACTAATGAAGTATAAGCAATTAATTTTTCATTTTAACACAATTTTGAAATAAACTTTATTATAATACATTTTCAGGGTATAAGAATGAAATAAAAAAATTTTTTACGATTAATTTTATTAAATTAACTCATTTTATTTTAAGAATTACAATTTTAAAAGTTTATTTTATTAATAATAATTTGAATTTCGCATACATAGTAAAGCAGTGTATTTATACAATTGATATCGAATTGTTTAATTATTATGCAAATATTATAATATAGTATTAATACAATTTATTATACTATATGCTATATACTACATACTACCTTAATTTTTTTAATGAAATAGTTAATAAAGCCATTGTAAGATTTATTTATTAGATAGAAATTTAAATAAAACTTAAAAAGAAATTACAATCCAAAACTGCACCTACTAATGAACAAGACAAGTTCCAGCACTTAAATTTGAATAAGGTTCAAGGAAAATAAAGTAAAATTTCTCCTATATTGAAAATACAATTTAGTTGGAAAAATCATAAAAGAATTATACATACTTTTATAAATTATATTATTAATAAAATCATATAATCATAAAATTAATATTGTGGTCGTTGATCCGTTTTGCTAAATGCCAATTATGTACTTATACATTGTTAAATTATTGTAAAGTAAGAATATAAAAGCTCGGCTATTTTATAACTTAAATAACTAATAATTTTGCGGTTCCACGTCAAATTAAAGTTTTTCAAGTAAGTAGACACTATTGATAAGAGTATTTCGTCCATATTTGAATGTTTAGTAAAACGAGTATACGTAACCAGCTATTATAGTAATTGGTAAAGTTACAGTACTATTAGATGTAATAAAAGAAAAAAAAGTGTGTAGATATAATTACTAATAGTGGACCGCGAGAGTAGCTTTCTTCATTGCGGTCTGTACGGCTATTGTTTAAGGGGTAAAATATAGGCAATTTGTGTTACAATAGATTTTAGATATGCAAATTTGGTATAAGGTATTCAAATATTAGTTTTCAAAGATAAATTATTTTTAAAAATCGACTCTTCTATAATAATAAGCAATTTTATAGTAAAAATTACTTGACGGGAAACACTCATGGTTTCAATAAAAGAAGATTGAAGTGTTTTAATAGGACGTTACATTTATTAAGGAGTTCGTTATAGGCAATTTTTTTGAAAAACTAAAGATTTAACTAGAAAGTGTAATAATTTGTTCAGAAATTAGAACTATTTTTTTTTGGTAGTAATTTGGTAATATAATTTTTGGACTTGCAGCATCTTTAACAGCGATTTTGATTAGCCTTTTAAAAATCGTATACCTACACTAAATAAATGAATATGTAACCAAATAAAAATTATGCGATAAAAATGTGCTGGAAAAAATTAAAAACAGAAAAGAAAAAAAATCGCTTTTGGATTCCATTGATGTAATTATTATTTATACAGTTTTATTATGACCCAAAAAAAATTGTTCCTGAGATATTTCTAGTTAGACTTTTATTCATGTACCTAGATATCTTATCGAAGGATCGAAGGCAAAGAGTACAAGGAAAGATACGACATACTTCGACACTTGAGTAGTTATTTTATTTATCTATTATCTGAAAGGTCATTCATAAATGCATAAATTATTCTAATTTTTATCTACGGTAGTCA